AAAAAAAAAAAAAAAAAAAAAAAAAAAAAAAAAAAGAATCAAAACAAACCCTCACTTTTGGGTTAACTCCAAATTCAATGGGTGGCACGGGCAGCACGGAGTCCACGTGAATCTCTACCCCGTTAACAGGCGGGACGACGGCCCCTTGCAGCCGCTCGACCCCCTCCGAGCCCTTCCTGTTTTTCAGAGACCGCTCATTGCCGATGGGTCCTGGTCTGTGCTCCTTGCTCTGTCCTGAGCTTTGTTCTGAATCCTTGGTGGGAAAGCAGAGAGGCTGAGATGCGACACGACCTCTAGCTTCCACACGTCCTGGACAGGGAAGACGATGATGCCCCTTCCGCCCAGGCCCTGGCCACCCTGGCAGGAACTCCAGGTTACCTTTTGCTCAGACTGCTTCTGGGCCTGTTCCTTGTGGCTGTCAGCCTTGGGTTCCGCCAGGCCCGGCCCGCTCATATCCTCTGGCTTCAGAGTACCGTATGGGGAACTGCGCTGCGAGGAGGTCGCGGACGACTCCCGAGACTCGGCACTCAAGTCAACGCCACTATCTCCCTGGCTGCTCTTAAAACCCTGCTGTGCAGAGCACAAAATGGGTTAGAGCCTCCCGACTCCACAGCACAAGCACCTCAAGGTGAGACTGCGTGCGGCACTGCCACATCTCCCCCAGCCACTCACCCTGGCTTTGGCCCTGGCCCTGCCTGCCCACCATGCCCAATGATGCGGGCAAGCAGCCGCGTGACTGCACCTGCCCTGCCCAAGCTCCTGCCCACCAGACGCGGCATATTCCTCACAACTGCCAGGCTCACTTCGCTCAAACCAGACCAGGAAGTGCCACCCTCCTCTGGCTCCCTACTGGGCTGACCAGGGGTCTCCCTTGTCATCCCTTCTCCTCCTTTGCTCAAGCAGGAACCACACACAGACGAGAGACAAGGCTGACAGCGCAGTGAACCAGGGCCTGTGGAGGGGCCCCTGGTGCAGGCCCAGCAGCGGGGCAGAGGCTGGGGTGCGGAGCGTACCCACAGTGCACACTCACCTCAGCGGAGCTGGGCTCGGTGCCGGTGAAGGCAGTGACGGCTTTCCTCCAAGAGTCGCTGGCTGCGGCCTGCACCGGGAGGGCTGCCGAAAGAGGCAGAGAGTGCATCAGAGGGCAAACAGCCCAGAAGACAGGAGCCCGTAGGAAGCCACTTCCGCTAACCACCTCCCTGTGCCCTGCTGCTGACACTCATGAATGCTCAGATACCCGGGAGCGGTTCTGATAGTTTCTCTGCCATGTTCCCACAAATGCCCCTCTCAGCGTGTTACGGACTCCATGCCGTTCTGTTAATGTATACCTGCCTGCGTTCTGCATCACTACCGCTGCCCAAATCAAGGCTTTCTCTCACTTAAGCAAACTATTTGACAGCTTCCAGAGTCCTTAAGAGGTCCAAGCAGGTACTGCAGAGAGTTTGCAAGATTGCAGACCCCTCTGAGAAGCCCACAAAAGCCATGGACCCCAGGCCCAGAAAATACATCCATATAAAAACATGACGTTCTGTTTTAAGATCAAGGGGCCATCTGACCCCCAGTCTTGCAACCAAGACAGCAGAATCCAGAGGAAAAGAGCCAGCAGAGGAGGAGACATTTCTAGTCCAGGGCCAGCTGCTCTGCCAGCCTGACACTCTCAACCTGAACAGCCGTGTGGTTCACCAAGGGACGACTGCTCTGTTTCAGTTAAAGTCCAATGCTCCCAATGTCATTGGGTAAGAGTTGGGGTTTTTTTTTTGGTACCAGGGATTGAACTCGGGACCTTATGCTTATGAGGCAGGCGACAGCACCATTGAATTAAATCTCCGGCCCTACTAGTGTCATTCTGAGACGTTTTTATGGGAAACCCAAAGACAGGCTGTGTCGTGACAATGACAGTAATAAATCCCGGCATCCAGGATCTTGAGTGTTTGTCCTATGGCTGAAGTTGGGTCTCTTCCTAATGGCTTCTCCATGCTCTACCTCTCAGTGCTCACACATCCTTGATTGATTGATTGATTTTGATTGGTTTTTTTGTGACAGGGACTTAAACATAGTGAGTTCAAGGCTAGCCTAAAGTACATAGCAGGACCCTGTCTGAAACAAAACCAAACCCTACCAGCACTCAGGAGGCTGAGGCAGGAGGATTACAAATTCAAGGCCAACCCAGACCTAGTGGCTCAGGCCTGTAATCCTAGCACTTTGGGAGCCTGAGGCTGGAGGATTGCAAATTCAAGGCCAGCCTAAAAAATTGTGCATCTTAGTGAAACCCTGTTTCAAAAAGGTGTGCATGGGGCCCTAAATTCAATCCCTACAACAAAAAACAAAAACCCAAACAAAACAAAACGAAGTTCAAGATCTTGTCTCAAAAAAAAGTCTGGGTATGTAGCTCAGTGGTAGAGTGCTTGCCAACACCAGAACTGCCCCCTCTAAAAAAATGGTGGGCGGGCGAGAATCTGCTTGATGAGAGCAACTTTTGTGT